GCCCCGACTGCCGCGCGTCCCAACCATCATCCGCACACCTGCCGCCTGCGCGCCCGCGTACTCGTCGCAAAGCCCGCGTGCGCAGCTTGTTCGCCCATTCGTGCGCATCAAGGGCCGATGCGCACCTTTCTCCTTTTATCCCTTCACTACACTTGCCGGTGCTGAGCCTTACTCTCGTATCATTCCCCTCCTCTTCAAGATTTTCCTTGTCCTCAAGGATTAAAAATTCAGCACATCAACATTGCTATCGTCCTCCTCAATTGGCGAGTCACCTTGATCCTCCGTTCTCAACTTAATGTGCTTCCCTGATCGCCCAAATTCCATCTTTCCTCGTCTATAGTCGGTTGTAATGGGCCCAAGCATTTCGAGCCACTGTACTCCCAACACAACATCAGTTGTCTTAAGCGGTAAGGCGTAGAGGTCAATTTCTAGCTCTTGATCCTGTGCCATAATTGGAACCTTCTTGAACAATTGATTACCTTGTAATTCATGTCCATTGGCGATTTTGACTCCAAACTTCTTGAACTTTGTGGGTTCGAACTTCAGTCGCCTGGCTATTCCTTCGTCGATAAAATTCAAACTCGACCCACTATATACTAACACTTCCAGTAGCATATCTTTTATTTCAGCCGTGAACCTAACCACACTTTTTGCACTTAACCACATGTAACAAGGACTCCTCCTGTGGCTTCTCTTCCTCATATTCCTCTCCAATTTCCAACAAAAGACTTCCTTACCTTTGCATTTGTGGGCTGGCGTAAATTTCTCGTTGCATGTATAGCACAAGCCCTTTTCCCTTCGCCGCTGCATCTCGCCGTTCGTAAGCCGCCGTACGCTACTCGTGGTGCATGTACCCTCAACGACTGCCGGTTTGAACTTGGTCCGTGGGGGCGTATCGTCAATCGCGACGCTCGCGCGCAGAACTTCCGTGCGCCCCTCGCTCGGCCTTGCCTTGCGCACTGCTGCGAGATGATCCACGTGCAGTCGCGCTGCTTCCATGGTGGCCCTTGTCGATCTTGGCCTGTCCAGTCGTACCTCCACAGCTAACTCAGCCTTCAGACCTCCAACAAATGCACCAACAAATGCACTCTCGGGCCAATCGCGTACCTGGCTCGCAATTCTCTCAAACTCCTTTTGATAGTCGCGTAGACTAGCAGTTTGGCGAATCCTTGTCAAGGCCTCATCATAATAGAAATAATCACTAGACCCAAACCTGATAATCAGGTCCTTCTCAAAATCCCTCCATCTGATTTGCTCGCCTTTGTTCTTGTAAACATGTGACACCCATTGCCACCATGTGTCGGCATCGTAATCTTCAGCCTTGCACGTACATGCTCCTCGCGATGATGCCGATGACCGTGCGTCCTTCGATCGTCGTGGTGTCGGGTTGTGCGCATCGCGCGCATTGCCCGCAACCGTTCGTCGTCGTCATCGCGACTAGACTCAAGCTGCCCGTTCCCACCATGGTTGATCTCGATGTGCGGCTCCTCCGCGTGTGGTGGTTGACTCTCTCGAGCTTTCCCGCCAAGTCGTGTATCATAAGCTCCAACTTCGCCATGTTTTCATTGACCACGTATTGTCCGTTGCCAAGGGACCTCACGCTTTCCTCAAGCATATTGAACCTTTCACGATTCGTCATGACTCTCTTTTTTTTTTGATACTCTCGAAAGATTTCGAAAAATAAGAAGAAAAATTCGATCAAGAGGGGAAAAATCGGACAAAAGAAAAAAGAATGGGATAAGAAAAGTTTAACAAGACACACAATCAATCACTCTACACGAGAGCACCAATGATGAAGGATCGTGTGTTTTGTTCCACTCGCTTGCCTCGAACAAAGCCTTGCCACGACTTGCTCTCGACGGATAGGTGTGTCGACTCGGTTATTAGCCGAACTCTCTCACGATACTTGAGTTCACTCGGTAATTAGCCTTGCTCTCTCGATTTTGAACTAGCTCGGGTCTTAGCCTCACTGATTCGATTGCATGATTGAACTCTCACGAATTCTAACACACGGTTTGAACAAATGTTCTTTTCTATTCAACTCATCAATTCTGGACCCTTAAAACAATTCTGGACCCATAAAATAAATCTAAGCCTAAGCTAATTCGATCTCCTAATTCTAGAATGAAAAGCAACATGGCAATAAAATCCTAATACTACTATAATTATTAAATGCTTGACTTGCACTCCAATCAACTTGAAGCACAAGTAATTCGCCCCTTAGAACTTCCGGTCGCCTTCCATACGTGCTTGCCCTTCGCGCGCGAGCCATCGCGCGCCGCCTCTGCCACTCCTATACGCATGTGGCATGGGTCGCCTGCCCCGCACGCGCGCGCCTTTGCACATGCCCAGTCTGTGCCGCCCTTTCCTTGCGCGTGTCCGCACGCCTGTCCTATGCACCCGCGGACTAGAACGTCCGCGCTTCATACCCACTCGCGCGCCCTTGCGCGCGCCTTGCTTCTGTCGTCCGTGTCCCGCGCGTCCTCGCCACCCTCACGAGCGACGCGCACCCCTACTCCTACTCGATCGAGGCCTGCACCTGCATCGTCCCACGCGTCGCTGCCCGCGCATAATGTGCACTTCCGCCCCGACTGCTGCTCGTCCCAACCATCATCTGCACACCTGCTGCCCGCGCGCCCGCGTACTCCTTGCAAAGCCCGCATGCGCAGCTTGTTCGCCCATTCGTGCGCATCAAGGGCCGATGCGCACCTTTTGCCTTTTAGCCCTTCACTAGACATACCGGTGCTGACCCTTACTCCCGTATCAAGCGCGCCCAGCGCGTTCCCCAGCGCCCCATATGGTAAGTAGGACATTTCCAGCCCTATTTAACCCCTTCTTTTCCCCTCCCCAAGCATCCAAAACCATCCCACTCATTCTCCATCAGCCGCCACCCTCTTCTCCATCTCCACTCCCGATCGCCGCCTCCACCGCACACCCCGGCGACCAACGAGCAAGGACCACGGCCAACCCTCGAACCCCGCCCATGTTTGAGTATCCTCAGGACAGAAAGGAGCAGCCCACCTCTGTCCAAGGTG